CTGGGGGCTGCCCTCGGTGGATCCCGACTGCCTGGCTGTGCTGGTGAGCGCCGGGGCCGGCGCGGGGGCGGGCCGGGGTCCCGCGGGCAGACCCCGCTCTATCCCTCCGTCCCTCCCTCCCGCAGACCTACGCGCGGTTCACGGGGGCGCCGCTGAAGGTGCACCGGGTCACCAGCCCCTGGAGGAGCCCCTCCGGTAAGGGCCCCGCCGAGGATACCGGCAGCACCACCGGGACCCCCCACCCCATGGCAGCCCCATGAGCCCGTTACCCCACTCGCCACCCCTGCACCCTCCACGCGTGACGCCCCCCACCCCATTTCAGCCTCCCAGCCCGTCTGATCCCTCACGTGCTGTGGCCCCACACCGCTGAGCCCTGCCCTATTGCACCCTCCTGCCCCACTGCAGCTCTCTTGCCCTAGGGCCTCTCCTCCCCACGTGGCACCACCGTCCTACCCTATTGCACCCCCTGTACCTCATCCCACCCCCTGCCCCATTAACACCGTCCTACCCTATTGCACCCCCTGTACCTCATCCCACCCCCTGCCCCATTAACACCGTCCTACCCTATTGCACCCCCTGTACCTCATCCCACCCCCTGCCCCATTAACACCGTCCTACCCTATTGCACCCCCTGTACCTCATCCCACCCCCTGCCCCATTAACACCGTCCTACCCTATTGCACCCCCTGTACCTCATCCCACCCCCTGCCCCATTAACACCGTCCTACCCTATTGCACCCCCTGTACCTCATCCCACCCCCTGCCCCATTAACACCGTCCTACCCTATTGCACCCCCTGTACCTCATCCCACCCCCTGCCCCATTAACACCGTCCTACCCTATTGCCCCCCCTGTACCTCATCACACCCCCTGCCCAGTTATCACCATCACCATATTGCACCCCTTGCCCCATCACAGCCTCCCACCCCATAGCATCCCTCGTGTCCTGTGCCCCTGACTGCACCCTCTCATCTCATTGTACCCCGCTGTGTGTCCCCCCACCACTGCAGTCCCCTCCATCCCATCCCAACCCCATCTTCTCATCACTATCCCTGTCCCATCATGCCCCCTCTTGCCCTATTGCACCCTCATGCCCCACTACACCCTGTGCCCCATTGCACCCCCTCATCCCATTGTGACTTGTGTCCCATTGAACACCCTCATCACACCCCCCCACCTCATTGCACCCCCCTTTTTTCTGTTTCCCCATTGCTCCCCTGTGCCATCACTCCCCACTGCACCCCCCTGTCCTGGAACATTCCCCATTTCCCATCACATTCCCCATTTCCCATCACACAGCTTCTACCCCCTCCCCTGCGCTGCTCTGTCCCCACCTCACCTCACACCCCTGCACTGCCTCGTGCCCCTCATCCAGGCAGGGGGATCCATCCCCATTGCAGCCCCCTGCACCCTCACCTGCTCAGGGCACAGTGAGTGCATCCCCCACTCCCTCCTCCTGCCCGCAGGGCACCTGCCCGCGCTGAGGACACGGGACGAGGGCACCATCTCCAAACCTCAGCAGATCATCACCCACCTCAGGAAACAGGTACAGGGGGGCTTGGGGCACCCCCTGCCCTGGGCTGAGGGCTGCTGGAGCCCCTCAGGGAGGAGGGGACTCTGTTGTGTCACCCAGGGGTGGGATTTGGGGCATCCTGTGGGATCAAACGGGTGTTTTCTCTGCAGAAATACAACGCTGACTACGACCTGTCAGCCACGCAGAGCGCGGACACGATGGCCTTCGTGTCCCTGCTGGAGGAGAAGCTGCTGCCAGTACTGGTGAGACTGCAAGGAAGGGGGGCTTGCTGGGGATGGGGTCTGCTCCCTGGAACTGTGCAGACAGGCTTGGGTGTGCCCAGCTGCCAGCAGCAACCTCCTGGGAGCCTGGCATGGCTGGGATGGGGGTTTGGGGGTGGCAACCGTGGGTTGTGCAGCCCAGGCTGGGGTCTGCCCTTGACCCCAGTGCTCCTGCAGCCCCTCATGCTCTCCAGGGTGGCTGTGCCAGGCAGGGGCTCGGGTGTGCCAGCAGCTCTGCCGTGGCCAGGCTGTGGATTGTTCTCCACCACAGATCCACACGTTCTGGGTGGATGCCAAGAACTACGTGGAGCACACGCGGAAGTGGTACGCGGAGACCATCCCCTTCCCCCTGAACTTCTTCCTGCCCAACGCCATGCACAAGAGGCACCTGGAGCGGCTGCAGCTCATCTGGGGGGATGACTACATGGAGGATGAGGAGAAGCTGGAGAAGGAGGTGAGGAATGGGGTCTGGGAACAATGTGAAATCCCTGTGAGGCTGTCCAGGGGTGACTTTATGATGCTCATATCCCCATTTGTCTGTTTAGCCCAGAAATAAGTTTTGCACCTTTAAAGACTGGTTCTGAAAAAATCCAAACTGGGGTCTGGGTTCTCCCCTCTGCTCCCCTGAGGACTGTGGTGGTACCTGGGCAGGTGACAACCCTGTGTCCTCCTCCTGCAGCTCTACCGGGAAGCTCGGGAATGCCTGACACTCCTCTCCCAGCGCCTCGGCTCCCAGAAGTTTTTCTTTGGAGACTCGTAGGTGGCCAAAGGGGGGGAGGGGAAGGGGCCTGAGAGCCCCCCACACCCCAGCAGGGCTGAGACCCCGTGGTCTGCAGGAGGGTTGCAGCCACTTCGGGGGTAGTACAGGCTCACAGGGCACAGGACACTGTCCCAAGGGGGAGCCATGTGCTGTCCCCTGGGGGTGCCTGCTGGCTCTGAGTGGCTTTGGGTGGGGACAGTGGCCCAGGCATGGCTCTCTGTGCCCCAGGCCAGCCTCCCTGGACGCCTTAGTCTTCAGCCGCCTGGCGCCGCTCCTGAAGGCCAAGCTGCCCAACGGGAAACTGCAGCAGCACCTGAAATCCCTGCAGAACCTGTGCAACTACTGCACCTCTATCCTCAGCCTTTACTTCCCCTGGGACGGAGGTGAGAGCCACCCCCCGCCTCACCCTGCCGCCTTGGGGCGACCTGTCCCCCCTGGTGCACCCCCAGCTCACTCTCAGGGTGACCCCTGTGCCCCTCCAGATGCCCCCCTGAGCAGTGCCCCTCGGGCTGCAGGCACGGACAGCAGCGAGGCAGAGGAGGACCCCCACAAACGGCGCAAGCAGCTGCTGTCAGTGCTGGTGGGGCTGGTGGCCATGCTGGGCTACGCCTTCCTCAGCGGCATCGTCTCCATCCAGCGCGGCAGCGTGGGGCCGGCCGGCCGGCAGCCCGTCGCCCTGGAGGAGGAGGAAGAGGAGGAGGAGGAGTGAGGAAGAGCTGTGTGGCTGTTCCTTCACAGCCCCTGGAACTGACTGTTTTTACTCTGGAAGCCTGGCAGCGTTGCTGCTCTGCTCTGTGTCCCACCAGGAGCCGCAGCCCTCTGCGTGGGAGCGTCCCTGCCACACCAATAAACCTCCCTCTCTCCACTTGCACCCTCTCGTACTCCCAGCACTCCCAAGGCCCTTCCCAGTTTCCCCAGTTGCCCAGGCTGGAGTTTTGCAGCAGGCACCAATGGGTCCTGCCTGTGGCTCTGCCCCTCACTTCAGTCTTGGGTCTTGATGTCCCAGAGGGGGGATCTGAAAGCATCTGTGGCATCTGAGCAGTGTCCCTGTCCCTTCTCCAGCAGCTGTGGGGCTGAGCCCCACATCTCCCCTGCATCACTCCCATGTTGCAGCCCTCAAGGCAGTGCAGACAGCAGCTCTGCGGGGCTGGTACCTCCCCTCCACGCTGCTGCCAGCTCGGCAGCACAGCCGAGACACAAAACCAGAGCCAAGGGCAGCCGAGGCTGCTCGTCAGGACACGTCCCCAGCCCAGGAGCGCTCCCCGCTGCCAGCGGGACACCCGGAGCCCCGCTCCAGCAGCCGGGATCCCTCCAGCGCTGACATCTGTTTGCATTCCAGCACGCCTGCCAGCGCCGGGGAGCTCCTGCAGCTGGCACAGCACCGCGTGGGCTGCGAGCGGGGTCGGGGGCGGCCACCTGGGCTCCGTCTGCCCCCGCGGTCCCCTGGGCCACCCGGCGTGGGGCTGGTGCCGGTGCTGGCTGCGCTGCCGTTCCCTCTGCCGGTTTTAGGATGCACAGATGGAAAAGGCGGCGTGGGGCCAGCCCGGCACACAGCCCTCGCTTGTTTGGCCGCCGGCTGCCACCGCCAGCGGCATCCCAGCGCTGCTGCTGCGGTGGCTGAATGTCCCCAGGCTGCGCTCCTGTGCCCCCCACCCGGCTGCAACAGCCAGGGGCCCCCACAGTGGGCTGGAGCAGAGCCACGGTGCTGGGCCAGCTGCGGAGCCTCCCCCGTACTGGCCCAGTTCGAGGGGCCCCACTGGGAGAGGGATGACTCAGTGCAAACCCCCCCCCCCCCCAGCACGCTCCCCTCTAACGTCACTCAGGAACTATGTGCCCCGTGCTCCCCGTTCCTGTTAGCTGGAGGGGCTGATGGCTGCTCCAGCAGGAGAAAGCACAGCCCCCTGCCCTGCTCTGGCCGGGGAGAAGCTGGAGCTGCCGATGCCAGAGCTCTGCTCTGAATCCTGGCTGCGTGTCCTGACTGCAGCTTTGGGCCCTTCCCTGCCTGGGGGATGCTGCAGTGGAAGACAGGAGAGAGATGCCACCCCTCAGGGGGACAGCCCCCTGCAGCACCAGCCCTGTGGCCTGCTCAGGAACCTGGGCAGAGGAGGGATGGCACCCATGGGGCCTCAAATCTGCCTCCTCTGCCCCTGGCATAGTCCTGCCCACAGAGCTGGCACCAAGGAGAGGTCAGGCAAGTTTGTAGAAAACCTGTTTATTTTATGAAACATCTAGAAAAGCACAGGTATTGCAGCCCTAGGGGCAAACAGGTCCTCTGGGCCGCAGGGGGTTGCAGGGGCTGTGCTGCCCATTGGAGTCTTCTCTCCAAGCTGCCACCAGCAGCGTGTTCCTGGCACTGGCTGGAACCTCTCCTGTGCCACACTAGGCTGGCTGCTTCCAGAGGAATTGCAGGGGCTGTGCTGCAGCCCCAACCCCATTGGAGTCTTCTCTCCAAGCTGCCACCAGCAGCGTGTTCCTGGTGCTGGCACCTCTCTCCTGTGCCACGCTAGGCTGGCTGCTTCCAGAGGAACGTCTGGATGGAGTCGCTGGGAGCCACGGCCTCGATGAAGCCGACGCGCGGGTCAGAGATCCCAAAGGACACGTCCGTGGGGGAGCTGCGGGGAAAGCAGAGGGGAAGGAGGTTCAGTGGGGTCAGTGGGGCCTTTTACAGGGATCAGAACTGAGCCACTCACCGGTTCAGGACCACCAGCACAACGGCGCCGTCGGGGCGCAGGAAAGCCGAGTGCTCCAGGTCACAGCGGTGGCACTTCTTGGAGACAGCCAGTCCCACCCGCTGGGAGCCCTCGGGGATGAACTTGCTGTGGGGACAAGCAGGGTCAGAGTGTGGTACTCAGGACCTGGTACCCGGAGCCAGCAGCCTGTGGCCCCAGCCCACCTGAAGTGCCCCAGGTGGTAGAACATGGGCTGCTTGTAGAAGACATCCTTGCTGCTGTCCACGATGACGGGGCTGTCCACGTAGTTCTTGCTCCAGTTTGGGCCTCCTTCCATGTCCAGGGCCAGGTTCCAGTCAGTCCAGCCCGTCACGTAGTTGTTGAGGTTCTGCAGGGCAGGGGGTTGTACTGAGCCACGGGCAGGCCCAGGGGCTGGCCAGGGTGGCCAGTGTGTCCACGGCTCCCACCAGGCCCTACCGACAGGATGCTGTGGCTGTACTTGCTCCCACGCTCCCAGCCACCCAGGACCACCCTGGGCTCCCAGAAGTAGGAGCCTGTGGAGGCCTCGGTGGAGAGGAGGAAATAGTCTGGGAAGAGGTGATGGGTGATGGAGAGTGTCAGGTCGATGGGTGCCAGGAAATCCAGGTACCAGTGGATGCCGATGCCACTGATGTATCTGGCAGCCACAGGGTCTTTGAGAACCTGGCAGGAGAAAAGGGTCACCAGTGGCCAGGGCTGGGGAGATCTGCTGTGGGGCCAGGACAGCTGCTGTGGGGACTCACCACCTCGGCCCAGTAGGGCAGCATCACCCTCTGGTCATCCAGGATGATGAGCTGGACGTGGCGGTGGGAGCTGTTGGCCAGCGCCGGGCCCAGGTCCTGGGCAATGAAGTCCCTCTGGTGCTCAGGGGAGAAGCCCAGGCACTGGAAGGGGTAGAAGACGATCTCACCAGCCGTGGGCTCGTTCCCTGCTGTCACTGCCCAGAAGGTCAGGTTGTGCTTGGCATATTCATCCAGGAATCTGGCGTGGGGTAGAAGATGAACGGCCCCGTCACACCTGTGCCAGCCCCAGCTCCAGGTATGGCATCCCTGGCACCCACCACACTCCCATGGCTCCTCACCGGACGAAGTACTTGGCCCAGGCCTGGTGGTACTTGTCCCCAGGGCTGCCCTTCAGTGTTCCCCTCCCTGTCATTGCTCCATTCGTCTTCATCCACACCGGGGAGGTCCAAGGGCTGGCATAGAGAGACAGTGGCCTCTTGGCCACTGCCTGGGCTGCTTGGAGGATGGGGATCTAGGGAGAAGTGGGATGGCTCAGAGATCTCTGGGTCTGTCCCAGTGCTGGACAGCAGGAGGAGTCACCTCCTTCTCCAGAGGCAGGAAGGAGTTCCCTTTCCCCATCCCACCCCCTCCCATCCCACCCAGGAGTACAGATGAGTCCTCTCCCTCCCCATTGGAAGTGATCCCCTTCCCCTTCCTATCCCATCCCATCCCATCCCATCCCATCCCATCCCATCCCATCCCATCCCATCCTTTCTCCCCCCCAGGTGGAAGGATGAGTCCTCTCCCTCCTAATCAGCAGGATGTGCCTTTCATCCCCTGTCCATTCTGTCCCATCCCATCCCATCCCATCCCATCCCATCCCATCCCACCCCTGCAGCAGCCCCAGTCCCTCAGACTCCTCCTGCAGGACTCACCTTCATGTGCGTGTCCTCCTCCGTCAGGTTGAAGTGCCTCAGCTCGAAGTCGTCCTCGGCGTCGGCGTAGGTGTACAGGCGGATGGAGAAGTCAGTGCTGGCCATGGGCACACGCACCAGGTTGTACTCAATGCCTGAGGACAGGGCAGGGGGTGATGGGCATCCTCGAGTTGCATTTGGGGGCTCCAGATCCCCCAGCCCCTCAGAACAAATCTCAGCAGCCAGACCCCCACAGCTTTGCCTGCCCTGGGCTCACCTTCCTCGGAGAAGTAGGAGCGGAGCAGGTGGTTCTGGGCAGCCTTGGACAGGGACTGGATGTTGATGGCGGCCGCGTCGGTGATGGAGCCACCAAAGCCCTTCACCTTCTGGAACCTCTGCGCTGTGTCCAGGGTGAGGTGGAAATCTGTGGGGACACACGGTGTCACCACCCCTGCCGCGGAGGACAGGCGCTCCCACAGCCCAGGGTGGTACCTGGGCTCTCGGCGTTGTGCTGGAATTTCCCCTCGCTCCGCTCCAGCCGCTTGCCAGCCTTGCTGCTCTCGTATTTGACGTAGGAGCCAGGGGCTGGCAGGACCAGGGGGTCCAGCGTGTCACAGTACATGGCACTGCAGGCACAGACCAGCGAGCCGTGCCCAAAATCCTTGGCATCACAGGGACGGCCACCTGCAGCAGAGGAAAGAGCGGGTGGGCACCGAGAGCTGTGGCAGGAACCCAGCTCATCCCTTTGACCTGTGACAGACTCCAAATTCCCCCCCTCCAAAGCCCAGGGACATGTGCCAGCACGTACCTGTGGCCTGCAGGGCTGCCTGTGCCAGCAGGAGCCAGCCCAGGACTCTGGCACAGCCTGGCCCCATGGCACAGCCTGGCCCCATGGCACCTCTGCTGCAGTGGCTCCGACGATGCCGATGGACACGCTGGGAGCAGAGCAAGGTGTCAGCACCCAGAGCTTCTCAGCCTGGCCCAGCCACACACAGGGACAGAGAGACAGGGCAGGGAGAGCCCCAGCATCATCCCACTGCCCAGGGGACCACTAGACCCCTCCCTGCCAGGGCTAAGCCTGTCCTGCCCTCTGCCCACTGCTCCAGCCCAGCACCCACCTTCCCTCCCACCCCTCCAGAGTCTACCAACAGCTCTGGCTCTGTCCCAGGTGGGGTGCAGCCCCCCAGGTGTGCATAGCCCCCAGCTGTGAGCCACCCCACCAGCCTGCAGCTCCTAGCTGCCCACGCTGGCTGTACCCAGCAACTTTGTTCACTCCCATCAATTCCCTCCCACTCCTTCTCCCTTCTCACCCATTCCACAGCTGTGCCATGCCGTGTCGTGCCATGCTGCATCACCCCCTGTACCCCCAGTGCCCCCCAAGCCATGCCCAGGAGCAAACAGCTCCACAATCCCAATCCCACATGCCTAGCAGCTGGGGCTTGTCCAGCCAGAGTGGTTTGGGGCTCCAGCCCCTGGCATGGAGAGTCCCACATTCCCCTGTTCTTTCAGGTGCTCACAGCCTGTCCTGTCCTTCCTGTGGTGCTGGGCAAGGAGCCTCTCAACGAGAGCACAGGAGGAGCCACCTCCAAGCCTCGGGACCCTGGTGCCAGACTGAGGACCCCTGGGGACCTCTGCCAGGGTAGGATGGTGCTGCCTTGCTGCTCCCCGAGCTCTTGTGGGATGTGGAGCAGGACCAGGCAGCTGTCCCACCTCCATTGCCTCCCACTCCCTGCCTGGGAATGATGCCCAGCTTGGCCAGGGCACGGCCTCAGCATGGTCCTGCTGCCCAGGGCTGTCCCATGCCCATCCCTATGCCCATCTCTATCCCCATTCCCACCTGCTGAAGCCACCTCGGGCCCAGGGGACTCACCTGCTGCCAAAGCACCTCTTGCTGCCGCGTCTCTGTGGCAGCGGTGGCAGGTCCTGTGTCCCGGCTGTGCCTGGTGGGAGGAGACACTTCTGGAGGAGCAGGAAAGGTGAGTTTGGAATGGGACAGCTCATGGGACTCTGTTTGAAGAGGAGCCTGGGGATGATTTTGCAACCTGGCTCCGATGAGCTTTCCACACACCGCAGAATTTGCAAAGCTCTCCTGAAACCTGTTCCAATGGCCAGAGGGAAGCTGGGGAGGGGAGGATGCCCTCCAGCCCCCCAGGTGCCTCCATCACCCCCCACAGCCAGGCCTGCCCTGCTCCCCTCGGGAAGAGCCCCACGGGAGCAGCCCTGTGTCCCTGGGACACCTCGGGCAGGGCAGGGCAGGGCTGGCTGTGCCCACCCTGGCTCCCTGCTCTTGGCAGCACTTTGGCTTTGCCACCACCAGTGCCACTGCCACGACGTGTGTCCCGTTTGTGGCTGCTCCAGCACCTTTCCTGGCATGGGCAGAGGCAGCAGCCGGTCACGGCAGGGACCCCCGACCCCTCCTGGGGTGGGCACAGCCCGCCCGAGTCCCCTCGCCCCCGCCGTGCCCCGCACGCCGGAGCTCCACGCCGCAGCGGGCTGGGTGGAGCCGGCAGCAGCGGTTTATCATCGGCAAAACAAGTCTGGGCTCCACACCGTCTAATTTGGGATCCTTCCTAATTACAGGCATCTGCTCCGCAATAGAAACAGGAGGAGGGCAGAGGCACGGGGGGAGTGGCAGCTCCCCGGGGTCCCCTTGGGGCAGCTGGGGAGGGTGGCCAGGAAGAGACCCCCACCCAGGGACCACCGTCCCTCACTCAGTGTCCCGTCCCCACCCAGGAACCACAGCCCCCGAGGCAGGGTCACAGCCCCTGGCTGGAGATCACAGCCCCCCGTGGGAATCAGTAAAGGTGAGATGATTTTCAGCAAGCTGGAAGAGCAGGCCTTAGAAACAGAACAGAGAACTGGCTGCAGCTGCAAAGTCTCAAAGTAGAAAATGTTACAATGAGTACTTTTGGTACTTTTAGTAATTGGCTGAAACAATTGTCTGTAAGCTTTAGCAATAACTACTGACTTTCAGCAATATGTTATTGGCTAGAAAGTTTTTCAAGTGCTCTGTAACAAATAAATCTTCAGCTGCTGCTGGCTGTACCTGAGCTTTACCATCTTCCTATTGACTGAATCATGTAATGAGGCTGATGCTGCAAATAAAACTCAAGGAACGTACCCCAAGAGTCCCAGCCCATAAAGAAAACAGCTCCCCAACACACCCCCACCCAAGGCCCTGCTCCTCCTGCTGCCCCCAGCCCACGCTGCGGGCGGTGGGGATGATGGGGATGGCTCCTCCAGCCTCACCCCACCCCTCAGAGCCATCCTGCTGTGGCTCCAAACAGGCAGGAGCAGCGAGGCAGGCCAGAGGGGCTGGGCTGAAGCTTTTCCCTGCACAATTGTCCCTGGGCACTGCTGGACGAGGGGGTGAGAGCTCCATGTCCTGGCACAGCAGAGGTCCGATGTCCCTTGGGAAGGGGACATTCCCAATGTGTCAGGAATGGTGTGTCAGCAGGAGCAGGGCAGTGTCCCTGTGCTGGACACTAATGAGGTCACACCTCAAATCTTGGGGGTCAGTTCTGTGCCCCTCATGAGGGCTGCAGCATGTCCAGGGAAGGGGATGGGGCTGAGGAGGGGTCTGGAGCTCCAGGAGGAGCTGGGGGGAGGGCTCATTTTGGAGAAAAGGAGGCGAGGGGGGGACCTTCTGGTTCTGCACAACTCCCTGATAGGATGGGACAGCCAGGTGGGGGTCAGGCTTTGCTCCCAGGGAACAGAGACAGGACAAGAGGAAATGACCTCAAGTTGCATCAGGAGAGCTGTGGCATTTCCCAGGAGAGGTTTAGGTTGAATATTAAAGAAAATTTCTTCATGGGCAGGACTGTGCAGCCCTGGCATCGGATGCCTGGGGCAGTGGTGGAGTTGCCATCCCTGGAGGGATTTAATAAATGTGTAAGGAGCACTTGGGGACGTGATTTAGGGCTGGCCTTGGCAGCGCTGGGGGAACGGTTGGGCTTGATGATCTTCGAGGTCTTTTCCAACCTCAAGGATTCCATGACTCTATTCTATGATTCCAAGCACAGGCAGCCAGACCCAGCTGCCGTTGGGGCCAGCATTCCCCAGGAACATGGATAAAAGCACAGGACAGGCTGGTGTGCTCCAGGAACAGGGCTGGGACAGAGCCTGGTGCCACCTTCACGCCACACTCCAATAAACCAGCTGTAAATCCTCTGGGTTTTTCATTTTCCCCAACCTCAGCAGTTCCGTGGCTCCCACACAGGGGCATTGGCCAAGGAGAGCTCTGGCTTTCTCATTCCTGTACTTCAAAGGTGCTGGGAACATTCCCAAAGGCACAGGGAATACTGTAACTGGTATTTAGGGAAAGCAAACAGGACGGGGAGGTCACTGCGGGCTGCGGCTGGTGTTGGCCACAGCCAGAATAGAGGGGACTCTGTCCAGAGGCCACCCTGGAGAGGTGGCACCAGCCTAATTCGTCCGTAAGCTTTGGTAGATGGGGACACTGATATCATTTACTCTGCCTTTCCGACAGCGTCTGACATTTGGATTTTTTTTTTTTCTTTTTTAATTCCCCCAAAAAAAGTAAGCTGGGGAAAACCAACAGCACATATGGAACGAATCAAGGGCTGGCAGCAGCGGAGGCTCCAGCTGCAGGGATAAACAAGGAGCCACCCGCAGGCCACGGGGGCCGGAGCCCCCGGGGCAGCCCTGGCCCCGCCGAGGAAAACCGAGCGATTTCCGAGCGCGTAGAGGAAACGCTGACGGGAAGGGCGCATTCCGCAGGGAGCGCGTCATGGCTTTACTTGGCGCCCGCGACACACGCGAAGGTTTCAAGGGGGCCACGTGTGGAAGTGTGCTCCAGGAGACGGTGCAGAGGGAACTTCCAGGGGGATGGGGAGCGCCGGGAGGGAGGGGAGGCTGGGAAGCAGCAGGTCCCGGTGCCAGGAGCGCACGGAGCGCCTCGTGCAGGGGCTGCGCCCCCAGCAAAGCGTCACCTTCTGCTTCCACCCTTGAGGGATGCTGGAAAGGATGGAGGAAGGGTTGTCCCCCAGAGCCCCCCTGAGCCCCCCAGCACACCCCTGGCGATCACTGCTGGCGCCACAGGTAGGTCTGGATGGAGTGAGCTGGAGCCACAGTCTCAATGAACCCCATGGCGGGGTCGTGGATTCCAAAGGGTACATCCCGGCCAAACCTGGGGAGCAAGAGGGGCTGAGCAGGTCGGCACGGCTGGGGCTGAGCACCACCCCCATCCCCTGCCTGGGCTGACCTGTTGAGGACCACCAGGACAAGGGCACCGTCGGGGCGCAGGACGGCCACGTGCTCCAGCTGGCAGAGGAGGCAGCGGCCGCTGCTGTGCAGCCCCACCCGCCGGGAGCCCTCGGGGATGAACTTGCTGTGGGGAGAGGACCAGGAGAGGGGATTTGCCCCTAGTCTGGGGCAGGTGGCAGCACATGAGCCCCCCTGACCCACCTGAAGTGCCCCAGGTGGTAGAACATGGGCTGCTTGTAGAAAACATCCTTGCTGCCGTCCACGATGACGGGGCTGTCCACAAAGTTCTTGACCCAGTTGGGGCCTCCCTCCAGGTCCAGGACCAGGTTCCAGTCGGTCCAACCAGACACAAAGTGGTTCATGACCTGGGGGGGCAGGGAAGGGGCTGAGTGGGGCTGCCCCCAGCCCCGGCTGGGCGGTGTGAGGGCGGTGTGGGGGCTGTACCGTCAGGACGCTGTAGCTGTAGTGGTCTCCCCGCTCCCAGCAGCCCAGGGACACGGCGAAGCGGAAGGTGAAGAAGCCGGTGCAGGCCTCCGTGTAGAGGAGGAAATGGTCAGGGAAGAGCTTGTGGGTGGCCTCCAGGCTGCAGCCAGGTGGGACAATGGCATCCAGGTACCAGTGGACGGCCAGGCCAGCCACGTAACGAGCAGCTGTGGCATTTCCCAGGACCTGGGGAGCAAAGGAGACGCCTCACACCGAGCCCACCCATGCCTGAAGCCTGCAGGGATGGACTCATGGACTCCACGTGGTCTCTCAGGGCCATCTCTTGTCCCCTCCTATGGGCACCACACCCTGCAGCACTGCACCCCTTTGAGCAACACCCTAGCATGGATCTGCTGCCCCAACATGGCTTTGGCACCTTGCTGGGTGCAGTGCTAAAGGAGTGGGCACAGGTTTGCCCCTCAGTGGGCCCCTTGCCCCCACCTGCTGCGTTGTCCTCCCTCCACACCCCCCTGGGGTGGTCCAGCCCTGCAGCCATAGAGGCAAAGGAGCAGCATGTTTTACTTTCTTTCCTCCTAATTTAAGGCAATATCCCCAAACAGCATCGTGGGATGGAAAACCAAACCAGCCAAAACTCTGCCCAGCAGAGGTGCTGGTGCCCAGCAGCACTGCCAGGATCCGGGGATCCAGGATGTGAGTGCCACCTCCTGTCCTCACTCCCGCCGGGCACAGGCGGAGGCGGCTGCTCCGGCAGACCCGGTTTGCTCCCACTCTCGAGGGCTAGGAGAGGCCACGGCTCCATCTCCCAAAAAGCCTGGGGCTGGGGAGCGAGGCGGAGGGGCAGGAAGGGGCGCTGCTCTTCACCACTTTGGCCCAGTGAGGGAGGTGGATGCGCTGGTCGTCGAGCATCAGGAGCCGTGTGCGGTGGGGGCTGCGGGCCAGCGCGGGGCCCAGGTCCTGGGCGATGAAATCCCGCTGCTGTGCGGCCGTGAAGGCGATGGTGGGGGCCTGGGGGGGCGTCAAGAGCCCCGCCAGAGGCTCGTTCTGTGCCGTCACCGCCCAGAAGGTCACGTTGCGTTTTGCATATTCATCCAGGAACCTGGTGCGGAGAACGGGGGGCAGAATCAGCTGTGCTGGCCCCCCCCCGACCCCATCCCACTCCCCGATCCTCCCGCTGTCCATCCCAGCCTGCTTCCAGAGACCCTACTTGATGAAGTAGTTGGCCCAGGTCCTGTGGTACTTGTCCCCTGCCTTCCCCTTCAGAGTCCCTTTCCCACGGACGTCCCCGTTACTCTTCATCCAGGCTGGGGCGGTCCAGGGGCTGGCAAACAGCAGCAGCGGCCGCTTGCTCATGGCCAAAGCTCGGCGCAGGAGGGGAATCTGAGGGAGGGGACAGAGGGACGGGGTCAGCTCCAGCTGCAGCTCCCCAAAATCACGGGGCCCAGCAGCACGGGAGAACTCAAAGGACCTCAGCAGGGACTGGCAGCTGGCAAGCACCACCCCCGGCACAGCGCCGGGGCTGCTCACCCTGCCACTGCCAGCTGGGATGCGCCAGGACGTGCCCCGGAGGAGGTGCCAGCTCCCACAGGCTGTCCCCATGCAGCCTGCCACGGTGTGCAGGGCTCAGCAGCACCTGGTCCTGGGGGTCCCGGCACACGCAGGAGCTCCAGCACGAGAGGGGACAAAGGTGCTGATGGCAGCGGCTTCAGCCTCCCACCTTCATCTTCACGTCCTCGTCCGCCAGCCTGAAGTGCTTCAGCTCGTGGTCGTTGGGGACATCATCGTAGCTGTAGGGGCGCACGGAGAAGTCGCTGCAAGCCATGGGGACCCGGATGAGGTTGTACTCGATCCCTGAGGAGCAGGAAAATCATCAAGAAGCACCGGAGCAGGCGCCCAGGCGGCGATGTCCCTGCAGGTGGGACAGGCACAGCCCCCTCTGGCGACCCCACGGCCCGCTCCCACCGCCGTGCTCTCGCTGCTCACCGCTCTCGGAGAAGTAGGAGCGCAGCAGGTTATCCTGGGCTGGCTGGGACAGCTTCAGGATGTTCATGGCAGCAGCATCGGAGAGGGACCCTCCGAAGCCCTTCACGTGCTGGTGCAGCGTGGAGATGTTGAGCGTCAGCAGCAGCCCTGAGGGAAGAGCCCGGCTCGGTCCCTGCTGCCTGGGGGCCCGCGGTGGCACCGCCACCCACCAGTGGCGCTACCTCGGGTGCTCAGACTGCTCTGGAATTTCCCCTCGCTCCGCTCCAGCCGCTTGCCGGCCTTGCTGCTCTCGTACTTGACGTAGGAGCCGGGGGCTGGCACGACCAGGGGGTCTAGCGTGTCACAGTAGGTGGCATTGCAGACACAGACCAGCGAGCCGTGCCCAAAATCCTTGGGGATGCAGGGCCGGGCACCTGGGAGGCACGGGAGGCTGGGGGTGGCTGCCGGCTCAGAGACGTGTCCCTGTGTGCTCCCCCGTCTGTCCCGGGGAGATGCCGCTGTCTCCGTGCTCCGCATTCCGGCACCTCCCGGGCACCCAGCTCTGCGCTGCCCCAGGGTGCCCAAGCCCCGCTGCCACCCCCGCCACGTCCCCGTGCTCACCTGCCACCAGGGGCGCCGGCAGCAGCAGCAGCAGCAGCCAGCCCAGGATGCCGACAGCCCCCATGGCCCCTCCGCGTTCCCCCAGCTCTGCAAGGTCCCGGGGAGCAGCACCTGCGGCGGGGACACCCTCGGTCACGGCAGGGGCACGGAGGGATCAGCCCCATCTTCTCAGCCCCTTGCAGTGGCACGGAGCTCCTGCCGCACCCTCCATCCCCCCCGAACACCCTCATCTTGCTCGGGGAGGGTCCATCCCTGCCAGGAGCCCGCAGAGCACCCGCCTTCACCCCGGCTGCTCCCGACCTGCGCTGCCGCCAGCCCTCCTCCTCCTCAGCAGTGCAGCCTCCCCACCTGGCCTTTACAGGGAGCTGCTCGGAGACCTCCCTCCGCAGCACACCCTCTCCCACCCCCACAGCTCCTCCTTGCTCTGCTCCCGGCCCGTACCTGCCCCGGGGCGAGGACCGCCGATCTTCTGCTCCCGCCGGGTCCCCGTCACCCTCCGCTGCCACGGCAAGGAGGGACAGGGACGCAGGGACGTGGTGCTGGCAGCTGGGCCCGGGTGGAAGGTCCAACCAGCCCAGGGAGGGGTCACAGGGGCAGATCTGAGACCCCACTGAAGGAAGAACTGATTTTGTCAGGCAGGGTCTGGATGAGCCCCTGAGAGCCCAGCAGAGCCAAGGGCAGGCTCATGGCACGGCTGTCTGTCCTGCTGGGCACCTCCAACAGGACACCCACTTGTCCCTGCCTGCCACCCCGCTGTCCCCACTGTCCCCCAGGAGCCACAGGGCCGTGCAGGAGGGTCCAGGACACCCAGGCAAGGTCAGTGAACATGGCTGCAGAGCTCAGGGCAGCACAGGGGCACAGCAGGGGTGGCCACAGGGGAGCTGGGGCTGTTGTCATTCCCTACCCAAGCCTTTGGCATCACTCTCCCCAACTCAGCATGTGCTGGGGAAGGTGGCAGCAGTGACAGCAGTGGCACAGCAAGCAGGCAATACCCCAGCTCCTGGCCCAACAGCAGCAGCTAGACCCTCAAAGGGGACCTTGCTGTCCCAACAAAGGAGCAAAGGCCAGCTCTGGTGCTCCTGTAGCACTCCCTGCTCCTCCAGGAGTCACCCTCCAGCCCAGCAAGACAAGGCTGAACTGGGCCAGCTCACCTGGGCACACAGACCTTACCTGGTGCCATCACCCAGGACATTGCCACTCCTGTGGACAGGTACCCCTCACTGTGGGGACACCCTCAGAATCTCCACACAGGGCTGGCCCAGGGAATGGAGAGTGGCCACATCCCAGCCACAGCTCCCAGCCACAGCTCTGCTGGCCTGGAGCATCCATCAGCAGCTCAGGGCTGCCCTGCACAGGGTTAAACTGCTCCGTTAGCTCTCCCTCCATGGGTGGAGCAGCACTTTGTGACTAATTTTCTCCATTTCTGGCATATCAGATGCAGCTCTGGGGCAAATCAATTAATCAAAGTTCCTCCTACCCCCAGCACTGCCCTGCTGTGGGCCCTGCCACGGTTCCACACCTCTGCTGGGAGCTGAGCCATGAGACACCTGGAGCCACTGGGGCTGGGCAGATGGGGCCAGGCAGCCCCTGGTTGCCTCTCAGGGGGCAAACAGGTGCCCCAGGAGGGAGCTCCTGTCCCTGTCCTGCTGCACCGTGGCTCTCCCACCTCCGAGTGTGATTAAGGTGTGACCAGACTGCTACACCCAGGCTAATGAGCCCCAATTTTGGGGAGGGATTAATAGCTCCTAAGGCAATCAGCCACCTTCGAGCTCACTTCCAGCCATCCGGGATGCCCCTGCTCACCCTTTCCCATTCCAAACTCCAGCCCTTCCTGCCCCCCATCCACCACAGCCCCCCAGCTGGCTCAGCTCACACAGCTCCTGGAAGCAAAACACTGCGGAGGCTGCTGGAGCTCATCCTTATCAACAGCAGCTGATAAGAGCGCCCTGCTGAGCAGGAAAAGTGAGACCCAGGGGCCGGGCAACGCCTCGCATGGAGCTGCTGCTGGCACAGCAGATACCAGGCAGCCCCACCAAGCCCCCAAAGCTGCTTCTTGTGGCCAGTCTCCAAGGAGGGGGAGCTCCTGGGGGTCGCAGGGGTCTCATGGCGTGGTGTGACAGCCCTCTGCAGTGCTCGGTGGGTTCATTGAAGGAGGTGGGGTCAAAGGAGCCACCAGAGGAGCCAGAGGGTGAATTTTGTCCTCAGAGGAGCCACAGGGTGAATTTTGTCTTCAGAGGAACCAGAAGGTGAATTTTGTCCTCACAGGAACCAGAGGGTGAATTTTGTCCCTAAGCCAGGCCGGTGTGGATGGGGACACGGGGACACAGAGCTGGGCTGAGTCACCTTTCTGGGCATCACGACTTTGTTAATATTTATGCCAAAGAGCCTCAGTGTGGCATCACTCCTTCCCAACAGCAAGACCCCGGCCCAGAGCGCGTGAGGACAATCCTCAGGGTGATCACCGGCTCTAGGTGGGACCCCAGCAGCCCCCAGTCACCGCGAGCCGCACACAAGCCAAGGCTTTGCACAAGAATTAATGAGCAGAGCCAAGCCCAGCGACGTCGGAGGATTCGCCCCCGCTGCGTTTATCCCGGAGCCAGTCGGTCCTTGAGCACCGAGCCGAGCGCAGGGACCAGGGCACGTGGACCTGGGTGATTCAGCATCCGGCCACCAGCGCTAGCAGCGGGCCAGGTAAGGGAGAAACAGGTGGGGGAGCAGCCCTGCAGGGAGTGGGATGCTGGCAGCGGGGTGGTGGGGATGGGACTCGCTGCGTGATCCTGGAGAAACGTTTCCCTCTTGTGGACAGACACAAACAGCCTCGGGGCAGGAGCAGGCTGCTCTCCTCAGGACTCTGGCGGCAACTCCCGGAGCTGCAGGGTCCCGGCAGCAGCATCCCTGTGGCTCCGGTGTCCCAGGGTGACACTGTCACTCACCGGCCACGCCTGGGCTGCACTCAGCCCACGCAGCATCGCGGCTGTCAGTCCTGACAGCACCCCTGGGCACATCCCACCTGCAGGGATCAGCCCAGGGGCCCCGCCGCCCTCCTCGCCCTGAAATTATGACCTCCCTGCCCTAATCTCCTGCTCTCACACCCTGGCAGCTCCCTCCCTCCTTCCTGGGTGCGCCCACACTCAGCACCCACTCCCGGTCCTGCCCCCGCTCGCTCAAGGCACCCCAGAGCTGTGGTGGGTGCTGAGCCCCTGGTGCACCCCCACTCTCCTCACCACGGTGGGGACCCCTCGGATCAGCCCCCACAGGGAGCAGCAGGCTCCAGGCAGGGCTGCTGCAGCCTGGCCAGCCCCTCTGTCCCAGAAGAGCCCCAGGACCAGCTGGGGCTCAGCCAGAGCTGCCTGGCACCCTGAGCCCCCACGCTGCCATGCTCCTGGAGCTGGCCCTGCCTCCAGCCCTGGCCTCAGGACCTCGGTCTGGGTGTGACCCACACAGCCCCTGGCCTGACATCAGGCTGCAGGTGGCTCCAGACTGGCAGGAAAAGCACAGAAAGCTGAAACTTGGCTGCAGTCCCTGCTTAGCCCTTCCATCGAGGGTGGGTTTCCAAGTGCTTCATGCCTGCTCCTGATGCAGCATCTGCATTCGGGGTGACTCCCGAGCCACTTGCTAGGTCCTAAATCCCATCCCCAAGAGCAGCAGGAGCACAGCCAGGCTCTGCTCAGCCCCAGCCAGGCAGTGCGTGCTCAGAACTGGGAGCAGACTCACGCCTGGAGCACCTCTCAGCAGGGTGAGCCCCCGGGAGCTGAGGTGGGCAGGGAGAGGGGCTCCCACGATGCTCCAGCTGCTCTGTGCTGCTCGCCAGGCTCCAGCAGGCTCCACGCCGCGGTGGCACCCAGCCACAGCGCCCAGGAGTGGGGGAGGCACCCGGAGGTTTCTCTTCCAGCCGCAGACACCAAGGCAGCATCCGTGTTTAATGTTGGAACAGCAGAACACAGCGTTCACAGCCTGTGGGGTCTCCACCCTGAGGGGCACCGGGGCCCCCGGCCCTCCTGCACACCACGGCGTCCCCGGGGTCCCACTCCGGCTCTGCCCCGGCCCGAGCCCGCGGGCAGCTGGGGCTGCACGTCCGGCCCCGTCACCGCCCCGTCACTGCCGCCGCCACACGTAGGTCTGGATGGAGTTGGCCGGAGCCACGGCCGCCATGAGCCCGACCGTGTCTGCCAGCCCAAAGGTGATGTCCTGTGGGGACCTGGGGGTGACAGCAGCGCGGTCAGACCTGCAGCACCTGCACAGGGCCCAGGGGGGTGGGGTCCCACACAGGGTTAGCAGGATGGGGGTCCCACACAGGGTTAGCAGGACTAGCAGGAGTGGGGTCCCACACAGGGTTAGCAGGACGGGGGTCCCACACAAGGTTAGCAGGACGGGGGTCCCAGACAGGGGTGGCAACATGAGGGTCCCAGACAGGGCTGGCAGGACAGGGGTCCCACACAGGGGTGGCAAGATGTGGGTCCCACACAGGGGTGGCAGGACAGGGGTCCCACATGGGGCTGACGGGATGGGGGTCCCACATGGGGCTGATGGGACAGGGGTCCCACACAAGGCTGGCAGGACAAGGGTCCCATATGGGGCTGATGGGACAGGGGTCCCACACGGGGGTGGCAGGATGGGTGTCCCACACAGGGGTGGCAGGATGAGGGTCCCAGACAGGGCTGGCAGATGGGGGTCCCACAGAGGGGGGCCAGGCTGCATCACCCACCGGTTCAGAACCACCACAACCACAGCCCCGTCGGGCCGCAGGAAAGCCGTGTACTCCAGCTCTGTCTTCTTGGACTCTCTGGAGGCGACGAGCCCCACGCGCTGGGAACCCTCAGGGATGAATTTACTGAGCAGACAAACGAGAAGCAACCTCAGGGAGACCCCAGGAGAGCTCCTCTCGAGCCAAATTTGCCTTGCTTCTCTCAGGACAAGGCAGCTTAGCGCATGTTGTGGGCTCCAACCCACCTGAAGTGCCCCATGTGGTAGAACATGGGCTGTTTGTAGAAGATGCCTTCACTGCTGTCCACGATGATGGGGCTGTCCACATAGTTCTTGACCCAGTTAGGGCCCCCCTCCAGATCCAGAGCCAGATTCCAGTCAGTCCAGCCGGCCACAAAGTGGTTCAGATTCTGCAACAGGACAGCTCAGATGCCTGCCCAACACCAGCAACCCTCCCCAGGGCCCAGCACACAGGGGCCTCACCGTCAGGATGCTGTGGCTGTACTGGTTCCCCCGTTCCCAGCAGCCCAGAATCACATCCCGCTCCCAGAAATGGGCCCCGATGCACGCCTCTGTGGCCAGGATAAAGTAGTCAGGGAAGAGCTCATGAGTGGGCAGCACTGTGTCCTGTATGGGACCGATGAAGTCCAGGTACCAGTGGATGCCAATGCCGTGGACGTAGCGAGCTGCAGCCTCATCCTCCAGGACCTGGCAGGGAGAAGAGTCAATCCCATGGGGCACAGAGGCCCAGCCCTGCACAGGACGGAGAATCCAAGCCCCCCACAAGGTCAGGGGCTGCTCCCTGGGTCACCACGATGGCAGCACGCTCACCACTCTGGCCCAGTGCGGGAGGTGGAGCCGGTTGTCGTCCAGGATGATGAGCTGGACGTGGCGGTGGGAGCTGTTGGCCAGCGCGGGGCCCAGGTCCTGGGCGATGAAGTCCCTCTGCTGCTCAGCTGTGAAACCCAAGCACTGGAAGGGGTAGTTGTTGATCAGCCCGGCCGTGGGCTCGTTCTCTGCTGTCACTGCCCAGAATGTCACATTGTGCTTGGCGTATTCATCCAGGAACCTGGCGGGGGGGAAGGAGTGAGCCGTGAGGAGTCCCCAAGTGCCACCACTGAGAGTCCCCCAGGGTATCACCCCGCTCCCCCAGCCCCAGCAGCTCCTCACCGCACAAAGTATTTGGCCCAGGTCTTGTGGTACTTGTCCCCTGCCTGTCCCTTCAGTGTCCCCTTCCCCACATAGGACTCGCTGGTCTTCAGCCACGTGGGGGAGGTCCAGGGGCTGGCGTACAGCGACAGCGGCCGCTTGCTCATGGCCGAGGCTCGCTGAAGGAGGGGGATCTGCAGGAGGAGGTGGAGGGGCCAGCTCAGCTCAGCCCCTGGGACCCTCCACCCCACCCTGCTCCCTCCCAGCGCTCGCCTTCAGCTTGGTGTCCTCGTCTCGCAGGGCGAAGTGGGCGAGCTCGTAGTCGTAGGGGACGTCATCGTAGGTGTAGGCATGGAGGGAGAAGTCACAGCTGGCCATGGGGAGCCGGATGAGGTTGTACTCCAGCCCTGCCAGCACAGCGGGACACGAGGTGTCCATGGTGTCCATAATCCCTGCCACCATCCCACCCGTGCCCCCGACACCCTACCCTCCTCAGAGAAGTAGGAGCGCAGCAGGTGCTCCTGTGCTCTTTCCGGCAGGGATAAGATGTTGATGGCGGCCGCGTCGGTGATGGAGCCACCAAAACCCTTCACCCTCTGGAAGCGCTGCGTCGTGTCCAGCCTGAGGACAACATCTGCAGGGAGGGGAGCCCAGCATGACGGTGGGTTGCTGCAGGGTCCATCCCATCCCTGCCATCCGTGGCAGTACCTGGGGCGCAGAGTTTGTGCTGGAATTTCCCCTCGCTCCGCTCCAGCCGCTTGCCGGCCTTGCTGCTCTCGTACTTGACGTAGTAGCCGGGGGCTGGCAGGACCAGGGGGTCCAGCGTGTCACAGTAGGTGGCATTGCAGACGCAGACCATGGCATCACGGCCGAAATACTTGGGGCTGCAGGGCTGGGCGCCTGGGGGGCACGGGAGGGTGGTGGGGGCAGCCTCAGGGACATATCCCTGCCAGCTCTCCCACCTGCCCCGGGGGTGATGCCACCGCCTCCGTGCTCCACACCCCCGCCCCTCCCGAGCACCGAGCTGCCTCCGGACCCCCGGACAGCTCCCGGGCATCCCTGACCACGCACTCCAAAGGTATTCCCTCCTCCTCCTTCTCCTTCCCTCCCACTTCGGGCCGCCCGGGGACCCCCGTCCCCTCCACCCACCGCGTACCCCGGGTCCCCCTCGCTCACCTGCGGCCCGGTGCACGGCCAGCAGCACCGGCAGCAGCCGCCAGCACAGGGCACCGACAGCCCCCATGGCCCCGCCGCTCCCGGTGCGCTCGGAGCCGGCCCTGCAGCACCGGCTCCGCCACCGGCCTTGCCTTTAAGGGCGCCCGGGCAGCTCGTCCCGCCCACACCCGGTGCAGGAGCGGCACCGACTCTGGGCGGGCCTGGCCCCGGCGCTTCCCCCGCGCCGGTTCTGGCTCCGCGAACCGGGAGAACCGCGTGGGCACGGGCACGGGCACGGGCACGGGCACGGGCACGGGCACGGGCACGGGCACGGGCACGGGCACGGGGTCGCTTCCCCCCGCCCCCTCCCCGAGAAGCGCAGCCGGTCCCGGTCCCGGTCCCGGTTCCGGTCCCCGCTGCCTCCCCACGCCCCGACAGCACCGGCCGCCCCGTCCCGCGGAGCCGCTACCGGGAAACCGGGAGCCGGCACCCCGTGACCGGTCAGCTGACCGCCCGCCCCGCCCCGCCCCGCCCCGCCCGTCCCGTGACACCGGCCCCGTGGGCGGCGGCGACCACCTTTATTCGGTCTCTAGCGAGGGGCAGCGGCCGCGGGACCGGCCCCGCAGCGCGGCCCGGGCGCAGCCGGGCGGGGAGGAACCGGCACGACCGAGACCGGGCGGCACCGGCACCGAGACCAAGACCGGGACCGGCACCGAGACCGAATGGGGCACAGGGGTCTGGAGAGGAGATGGACACAGGGGACAGAGCAAGGGACAGGCATGGCAGTTCCGGGGTACGGGTGCGCTGGCACAGAGCCCAGGGACCAGGCCATCACAAGGGACAGGTCAGGGCACAGGCACGGCTGGCACAGGGGACCGAGGATCAAGCCAGCATGGCCAGCCAAAAGAACAAGGCAGAAGACAGGCACGGCCAGTGGAGGGGACAGGGGACAGGCATGGCTGGCACGAGGGACCGGGGATCAAGCCAGCCAAAGGGACAGGGCAAAGGACAGCATGGCCAGGGCAGGGGACAGCTGGCACTGGGGACAGACATGGCCATGCCAGGCTACAGGCACAGCTGGCACAGGGGACAGGGTATGGCCAGTGCATGGGTCAGGCACAGCCACAACATGGGACAGGGCAGGGGACAGGCGTGGCCATCCCAGGGAATAGGCACAGCTGGCACAAGGGACAGGGCAAGGGACAGGCATGTCCAGAAGAAGGAATAGGGCAAGGAACAGGCATAACCACCCCAGACAGGCAGGGGACAGGCACAACTGTCCCGGCCCCCCAGCAGACACCCCAGGGGACCAGCCCCGAACCCCAGCCCTGCTTGGGGAGGGGGCCCGGCCGAACCCCCGGGGCAGCAGTGCAGGGCCCAGCCCCACCAGGGCAGCAGCAGCAATGTCCGAGCAATGTCCAGGGCTGATTGCAGAGCGGGACTCCCTCCCCAGAGCGGAGGGTCCCCGCAGGGGCCGTGCCCTCAGAGCGCGCTCTCCTTGCAGGCCCCGCTGAGGCTCCGGGGGCGGCCGCGCTCCAGGCGGCGCGCGGAGAGCAGGCGCCGCAGGGACGACGTGGAGCTCAGGTCCCCGCAGCTCTGCAGGTGGATTCCTTCGTGGGGCCGCTCTGCACCCGGCCAGGCGCTCCAGGGAACCTGCAAGCCGTGGGGACAGGCTGCAGCAACAGGGATGGCAACCCTGCCCGTGGCACCCCTGCCTGTGACACTCCTGCCCGTGGCATCCCTGCCCCATCAGACCTGGGAAACTGCTCTGGCAGTCCTGTCCTCGTTGTCAGACCTGGGACACTGCTCTGGCAGTCCTGTCCTCGTCATCAGACCAGGGACACTGCTCTGACAGTCCTGTCCTCATCGTCAGACGTGGGACACTGCTCTGACAGGCACAGGACACTGCTCTGGC